AGAAAGATGTGGCAGTCTGCTTCCAGAGAGATTACAGCCTTGGAAACCCTATGGCAGTTTCCTTTAGGGTCACTGTGAGTCAGAATCAACTCTATAGCAAAAGGTTTTGGTTTATATATTTGCTTATTTCATTTAAGTGAGACCATACAGAATTTGTCCTTTTGCAAATGACTTGTAGCGCTCAGCATAATGTTTTCAAAATTCATTTATGCTGTGGCATGCATCAAACTTCATTTCTCTTTACAGCTGCATAATATTCCTTGTATGTCATACTGCATTTTGTTCATCCATTTATCTGTTGATAGATGTTTTCATTTTTTCCACATTTTGGCTATTGCCCAAAGCACTGCAGTGAACATTGGTGTACAGGTTTCTGTTTGTGTTTTTGCCTTCACTTCTTTTGGGTATATACCTAGTATTGGAATTGCTGGGTCACATGGCAGTTCTATATTCAGCTTTTTGGGAACTGCCAAACCATGGCTGCACCATTTTACGTTCCCACCAGCAATGGATGAAGGTCCTGGTTTCTCCACAACTTCACTAACACCTGTTGTTTGTTTGTTTTTTTTAAAAAAATCATTGCCTTCTAGTACGGGTGAGGTGATGTATCATTGTAGTAATGATTTGCCTTTCCCTAATTGTCTCTGGTGGCATAGTGCCTAAGGCATTTGACTGCTAACCAGAAGGCTGGCAGTTTCAAACCAACCAGCTAGTCCTTGGAAGGAAGGTTGGGCAGTCTATTTCCGTAGTGATACTGCCTCGGAAACCCAAGGAGGGGGTCACTATGAGTCAGATCCAACTCGATGGCTGTGAGTTTTTTGGGTTTTTTTTTTTTTTTTTTTTTTTGGTTTTAATGTCTAATGATGTTGAACATCCTTTTGTGGCTTGATGGCCATTTGAATATTCTCTTTGGTGAGCTCTCTGTTTAAGTCCTTTGTGTGTTTTTTGATTGGGTTATTTATTGCATATGTTTTTGAATGAAGTGATAAATGCTAGGCTTAATAATACAAAATAAAATGACTTTTTTTGTTATTATTTGATGCCATCCAGTTGGCTCCAACTCATGACAACCTTATGTACGTCATGACGAAATGTTGCCTGGTCCTGCCAGTCTTCATGATCATTGGGAGGTTTAAGCCCATTGTGTGGCCATTATGTAGTTCCTTTGAACCATGGTGGCTCATTTTCTTGCACTCTTTCAGACAATATCCAGTTGTGATCTCTAGGGTTTTCTTTAGCTACTTTGTGGAAGTAGATTGCCCGGCCTTTCTTGCTAGCTTTAGTCTGGAAGCCCTACTCAAACTTGTCTACCATGGGTGACCCTGCTACAATTTAAAATACCATTGACATAGCTTCCAATATTATAGCACCTGGAAAGCCACCACTGTATGACAAACTGATAGACAGATGGTGGGAGTAATGGATACAGATATGTAAAACCTTATCATGAATCATTTTTGAGGTGTAAGTCACACTCCAGAGCTCCCTGTGGACCAGGCCGAGGCCAGACTTCAGCTAAACCCAGTGCTTCACCCAGCCTCTTCCCTTGTCCTGTCCAACTTCCTTCACTACCTGAGACTCCTCCCATCCTAGAACCTCCCTCAGTAAATCAGTTGTACAGGTATCCAGGTCTGCTTCTGGGAAACTATTCTAGGATAATGAGTGCAGTGAAATCTTAGCTTTTGAGGATATCCCTTAGGTAGGAGCAAGTAGACAAACCCAGTCTCCTGTCTTAATTCAGTCACCCTAAAGCACTGGGCCCTCCTCTAAATTAAGTTCATATGCAACATTATCTCATTATCTTCCCTTCCAGGTGATACATACATAGCATCTGTAAGTCTTGTGAGAGCATGACTGTTCACAAGATTGTCCTTGTAGGGTCACCATAAACAAGAGCATTGACAGATAGTGGCTCTTCCCTACAGGACTGGAGCTGGGACTAAGTATGTTTATTTCCTGTTGATCTTCCTTGGAACAATGCCTTTTTCTTTGAAGAAAATATGCCATGGCTTGTCTCGTTCTGTGAAAGAAAGTTTTCCCTTGGTTGATTTTGAAATTCTTGTCCTCTGGATATAGTCTGGGGAAGAGTCAGGGAAGATTTCCTGCAGCAATCTGCTGTTTGACTGTTGGGCAGGTGTTTGGCCATGGGTCATTACAGACTGACACAATTCCAATTTTAAGGCAGGAAGCAAAAGATGTCTTTTTTCAAATGCCTTCTTAAGTGGTTGAATATGTGCCCAGAGTCCATTTTTATCTTATGAGAATTTCTTCTAGGACATAAGAGTAGATTTTAAAAATTCCTTGTCTTTTTTTTTTTTAAATGGGAGGGTCTCCTGATCTTTTTGGCGCCCTGTTTAAGTACTTGTTGTATGAAGGAGTTAGCCTGGGTGAGGTCCATGATCCTGTTCTCTCTCACATAGCCTGAATTTTTAATGCTTTTCTCCTAGACATATTCTACTTAAACTCCATATAAAAGAATTGTTTTTAAGTCTATGCTAGTATTAATTTTCTTTGTTAGTAGATCCAGTGAAAGGTGTGTGAACTTACTGTGCACTAGGGCCTATCACTGCAGCTTTCTCAGATTTAATAACATTTTTTGCAAGATGACTAAAGTGAAGGACCACACATGGTTGCAAAAGAAACATTGGCTTTGTATATTAGGACAGACACCACAAAACCATGCCCATTGCTGTCAAGTCAGTTCTGACTCACAGGGACCCCATAGGACCGAATACAACTGCCCCATAGGGTTTTCTAGGCTCTACTCTTCATGGAAGCAGATCTGTAGGGCTTTTCCCCTGTGGAGCCGCTGGTGGGTTAGAACTGCTGACCTTTCAGTTAGCAGCTGAGTGCTTACCTACTGCACCACCAGGGCTGCTTGTATATTAGCATACTATCTGGTGGCTCAGTGGTTAAGGTATTTGGCTACTAACCAGAAGGTCAGTGGTTCAAACTCACTAGCTGCTCTATGGGAGGAAGATGAGGCAATCTAAGTCCATAAAGATTTACAGCCTTGGAAACCCTCTGGGTCTCTATAAGGCAGAATTGACTCAAAGAGATGGATTTACTTTTGTTGTTTTTATACACACACATACACACACACATATAAACAAGCTCACTGCCGTTGAGTTGGATCCAATTCATAGTGACCCTTCCTTGGGTTTCTGAGGCAGTATCACTATGGAAGTAGATTGCCCCATCTTCCTTCTGAGGAGTGGCTGGTGTGTTTGAACCGCCGGCCTTCTGGTTAGCAGTCACATGCCTTAGGCACTATGCCAGCAGAGCTCCTATGTATATATATTTGTAAGGGGCTCTGGGGGCATAATGCATGATGGTTAAGCACCCCCTGCTAACTGAAAGGTCAATGGTTCAAACCCCACAGTGGCTCCACAGGAGAAAAGACCAGGCGATCTGTTTATATAAAGATTACAGCTTAGTAAACCCTAAGTCATATCAACTTGATGACACACAGCCATATATATTTGTACTTTTGTATGCAAACAACCCTGAAATTTCGTTGTTAAATGCAATGGGAGTTTATTGCTTGTTCACAATCCAGTGCTGTTAGCCGGTGGAGGTGGAGGAGTGGGGACGGTCAGTCAGGACTCTTCCTGTCATCTTCAACACATGGCCTCTTAAGTTCCCAGAGAAGAAGAAAAGAAAGTGGAGAATCGCCATGGGAGCCTTTTATGAGCCAGAACTGGAAGTGGCCCCTTTCCATTGGCCAGAATTTAGCCATGAGGTTCCAACATAATTATGAGGAAAGTAGGAAATGTAGCATAACAATGTATCCAGGCAGAAGAGGAAAACAGTGATCATCAGTGCACCCTTGTATCCGCTGTCTCATCTGGTTTTATGACTTACTGGCATTTTCAGAGCATCCCGACCATACGCTTTCCCTGAACTCATCCTGTCCATCTTTTCATGCCAATTCTGATATACTCTCTCCCAGCTCATGTACCATTTCCTATTGGCTAGCCTCATCTTTATCCCTTTTATCTGATACCTGGAGCTAGGGAGAGACAATGTGATTGGAGACAGGGAGCTTAAGAAGATGAATTTTCATGAGCAAGGTTAAGTGGTCAGGATAGTTCGCTGAAAAAAGTGGCATGAATGTTAGAAGGAGAGGCAGCAAGGTAGCCAGGAGCTTAGTTTGGGTTGATTCAAGATGGGAATGGATTGATCCAATGGGAAACAAATCCCAAAGGAAAAATCTTGATAGAGTAAGAGGTGTTGTTTTGCAAAAGTAAATTATGAACCAATTATAAAATTTCAATTAAAGATCCTCTCTGATGTTTTTAACTACATTGGAAAGACCAGCATCCACAATTAAAAACTACAGCTGCTTAGATGTAAGTCTTTGAAGCTGTTGTATTTTTTTTTAATATCACACATACATATTCAATAGTTTAAGAAGTTATTTTTGTAAAGGAAATGGTTTGCTTTCTGCTTTCCCTTTTTCCAACACAGAACGGAAAGTAAACATGGATCCGTTTGTGAGCTTGTAATGACACCCATTCAGCAAACCTGCCCAGCAGTCCCTCCATGCTCTTCTCCAGGTTGCGCCTGAGGAGTCAAGGCGTTTCCGATATTGTAATACACCTAGTTTTTAATACAGACACCTGTGCAGTGAGTCACTACCCAAGAGCCTTTTTGGTTATGGAAGACACTAATTCATCTTTTTGTCTGTCATTAACTACCAAGAATGGATACGCCTTCTCACTTATTATACTTAGTTTAATAAGAACACTTTGTGGAAAGGAGTTCCTGTTTAAGCTTGTAAGTGGTGTTTCTTACACCTAAAATTTTTGCAGTGAACAATTTCATGGAGCCAAGAGACACAAAAGCCTTGCCAAGAACAATTCCCACGAAGAGCTTAAAAGAGCTGAGTCCAGACCAAGTGTCAGGGCTTACCCTGAACAGTAAAAGGGATTAGGTGAAACTCTTCTGGAAGCCATCAAAAGCAACTGTGTGGTTGACACTGTGTTTCATTTCCCCAGGGCTTTCCTGGAAAGGATGGATCCTCTGGTCCTCCAGGGCCACCAGGGCCAAATGTAAGTATCAACAGAAACTACTGGGAGGTGCTGTGTTTTGAAGTATTTCATTTCTTTTGAGAGACTTTCTTTGCTTGACCTTTACCTTGGCTGCCATCTTTGCTGAAGTGAAACAACTCATCCCTTGGCATGAGCTCTCTTAAAACATCCTATAAAAATAATATAGCATGTGGCTTGATGTGTCTCTGTGCCACTTGGCCATGAGATCACTTCCACTAATTATTTAGGATTTTATTAGACATAAGTAAGGCTTGAATTGGAAAGATCCACACCTGACCGATGGGCAGGTAGTGTCTTCCCTACTCTTTTTGGAGTTGGGAATGGGAATAAGCAGTGAATCCTGGGGTCTTAGTGGTGATGGGAGGGAAGCTATCACTGGGTGTTGGTTGCTCCTGCTTGAGTGTCATTGATGAGAACTTATGTATCCTCACCATTGTGCCATTTTCACGCCTTCCTAATAGGGTGTTCCGGGAGCTCCTGGAGCCCCAGGGATCACAGGAAGCATGGGACCTCAAGGCGCCCTGGGGCCACCTGTGAGTATGCAGCCGTGGCCAGTGAGGGTGTGCGTCCAGTCACCGCATTTATTTTTGTGTTTAAACTTACCAGCATCTCTGTCAGTCGAAAACGTTTATTCATCATTGGATTCCGTGGGGCTCCATACAGGAAAATAGGGAAGTTCCTGGGGTAAAGATTAAGGCCGCGTTGTGCATACATTGTGGCTAAAGACTAATGGTCCCAACGGGGAATCATTGCTCGTGCTTCTGCTTATATATGTTCCCATGGTTTGTTACTCTGTATTTGGCTAAGTAAACTCAAAGCCATCTTTCCAGGGATTGGTACAATAGCTATGTGTTCATCAGATGTGGCTCCCAAGTGTAAAGTATTCAAGGTTTGAGAAAATGAAGCTTTAATAAGAGTGGAAATAGATTTTTCTTTTCTAAATTCTACAAGAAAGGCAGAACCTGTTAGTCTCTCTCTCTCTCTCTCTCTCTCTCTCTCACACACACACACACACACACACACACACTGAGCTAAGTGAATAGTGGCATAAATGAAAGCACAAGTAATGGAACTAATTATCTACAGTTTTTATGCTTTTCTCTTAGGTTGGTGTTTAAATGCGATTAATGAAAAGCAGGTAGGGGAAAAATGGGGGAAGCCCATGGCTTCCAAGCCATGTGTGGCATCTCCTGTGATTTGCATGTAATTCCTTGGTGGTGTAGCTATGAGTCAGAAGTTTGATATTATTGTGCTATGTTGTTATGTTGTTGTTATGTGCCGTCGAGTCGGCCCCGACTCATAGCGACCCCTCCTTGGGTTTCCGAGGCAGTATCACTACGGAAGTAGGATTGCCCAACCTTCCTTCCGAGGAGTGGCTGGTGGGTTTGAACCACCAGCCGTCTAGTTAGCAGGCAAGTGACTTAGCCACTATGCTACCAGAGCTCCCTATTGTGCTATAGTAAGTCTCTATCCATAAACTAAAGTTAGTGAAACATGTGAATGTTTGTAGCACTGCAGACATGCTAAGAATTCCTGGAACATTGAAATGTGAAGGGGTTAGGGTGAGGGAGGTGAATGAATTGGGTTTCTCTGGCTGCTGTAACACATGACCATGATCTTAGTGGCGTAAAGCAACACAGATCTGTTGTCTTCCAGTTCTGTAGGTCAGAAGTCTGATGTGAGTTTCCCTGGGCTAAAATCCAAGCGACGGCAGTTCCTTCCTGGAGACTGTAGAGGAGAATCCATTTCCTCACCTTTTCCTGCTTCTATAGGCTTCCCACATTCCTTGCTTTGTGCTCCTCTTCCCTCTTCAAAGCCAGCAATGTGGCATGTCTGTGACCATTCTTGCATGGTCACATCTCCCTTCACCACAGCTGGGAAAGGTCCTTGGCTTTTAGGGACCCATGTGATTACATTTGGGCCACCAGATGCTTTTAGCTACTCGTCCCATCTGAAGATCTTAAGTAAATCATATTGGTAAAGTCTCTTTTGCTAGATAAGATAACATAGTCCTAGGTGCTGGGGATTACTCCTTGGTCATTTTTTTTCTGATTACCACCGTGAACCAGATGTAATAGAATCTATTGGTTCTCATTCAAGGAGCTCTGGTGGTTAAGACATTTGACTGCTAACCAAAAGGTTGGTGATTTGAACCCACCAGCTGCTCTGTGAAAGAAAGATGAGGCAGTCTCTTTTTTAGAAGATTTGCAGCCTTAGAAACCCAGTGGGGTTCACTATGAGTCAGAATCAACTCGATGGCCTAAGTTTGGTTTTGTTTTTTGGTTCTCATTTAGAAAGACGCCTCTCTTCCTATAGCTGCCCTCATAGTCTTGTTACTCTTTAGTCTTGAAATGCATTTCAACAAAGCTTTTCGTCCTCAGAGTCCTTTTTCTAGGCTGTGATTCACGTGACACACAGGCACATACAAGGATGTCTGAGCAGTGCATCTGGGTCTGAGCTGGTGCATTCTAACCACACAGCCAGATAAATGCTGTCCTTACAGTCCCTTTACAAAGCTAAATATTCGTGTCAACTATGCTGATACTGTTCAAAACACATTTAGATCTATTTTAATAAAATTAGTAATGGGCCATAGAAGAAAATTTGATAACCTCATTTTCACATGTTTTTTGGATCCAAATGATGTTACCAAGCATGATCATGCAATAGAAACATACAGTGACACCCACTCATATGTGTGAACATATGCATGAGAAAGGCATGTGCACACTCTCTCTCCCTCCCTCCCCTCTCCCTCTCCCTCCCTCGCTCTCTCTCTTTCCCTCTCCCTCTCCCCACAATTCTTTCATTGCAAACTGAGCTATTCATTCAATTCTAAGCTATTTCTTACCAGAACAGACAGGAAAGCAGACTCTTTCTGCTACTAGTTTTCAGGCTGTTTCTTAAAAGGTGTTGTGTGAAACAAGAACTCCAGAATATTTTCAGAGGCCAAGAATTACTGGTCAAAGTAGTACCCGTGGCAGTGCAGACTACCCCTGTTCTCAGAAAGCCATGAAGGTACTAGGACTTTAAGGCTTTGAGTCATTCTGAAACAAAACAAAGCAACTGTTGGTTAGACCATAAACAAATGTCTTTGTATGCATGGTGATCTTTTTATTCTATGCACTCTTACTAACTAAAATCATCCAGAACTAAACTCACTGCCAGTGAATCGATTCTGACTCATCATGACCCTATAGGACAGAGTAGAACTGCCCTATAGGGTTTCCAAGGATTCTTCATGGAAGCAGACTGCCTCATCGATGTCCTGTGGAGCAGCTGGTAGGTTCAAACCACCAACCTTTTGGTTAGCAGCTGAATGCTTTAACCACTAGTTTCCCTTAACCCAAGCAGGGAAAGAACAGGCCATGGGCTGATCCTGATCCAAGAGGATGGGGTGAGAAAGGCCTAAGGAAAGAAGAGCGGGCCCTGGGTCTTTGGAGAGGAAAGTGGAGTATGGGGAGGAGTTGAGTGAGACATGGAACACATTATGTGAGTATAGACCCAACACTACTTATCAATCTGGCCTTTTGCAGCTCTGGGTTAAACTCTACATTTTTTTTTCCCAGAATGAAAACACATATTAAAAATTATTTTAGATTGCTACAAATCAGTAGAGAGTGTCCCTTGATGAAGGCATGAAGGGTCCCATGCCCTTGACACTTTGATCACAGGCAGAAACCATGTGTCTATGGGCAGTTGGTGGGATGCTGCAGGAGGCTTTGGAGTTTCCTTTTCTAAAGGAAGTTGGTCTCTGAACTGTGCAGCCTATGCCAAGAGCCCTGAACTCCCAGATGCCTGGCTGCCAACTGGCATGACTAGTAAAGTAGGTGCGTTGTCATGATGGTAAGGCCTTGATTGATTTCCTGTGGATTTCTGTCTAGGAAGGTGGGAGGGAAAGAGACCGAGAAAGACAGACTACCCCACTGAAAATAGCAATGTGTTTCCTATAGTCCAAGCCAGAAACGCTTGATTTTGTGCACTCTGCCTGAAGCCGCCAGCTTCCTGCCGCAGAATGAGCGTGGCTACTACTGTGGTCGGAATTCCTACCTGAGTTTTAAGCATTAGATTAAGTATCGTGCCTCCCCTGTGGAGAGGCACACAACAGCAAAGCTGTTTACTGCTGGGCAGTGTGTTTAGCTTGAGCCAAAGATTCAGTGTGGCATCGTTTAAAGAGTACAGCGTTAGGAGTCAGGATACCCATGTTGCAAACATGACCCTGACATGACCCTAACTAGCTGTGTGAACCACATCATTTAAGCAATTCAGCAAGCCTCTGTGGATATCAGTTTCCTAATTCATTCCTTTAAAAAATACTTGCTGAGTAGCCACAAGATGACCAAAATCACTTAAGGGAGTATTGTGAGGGGTCCGAAGATGATCAAGACATTTTCCCACATTGAAAGAAAATTGAGAGGGGAATGGAGCTCTGGTGGCATAGTGCCTAAGGCATGTGACTGCTAACCGTAAGGCTGGTGGTTCAAACCCACCAGCCATTCCTCAGAGGGAAGGTTGGGCAATCTACTTCCGTAGTGATACAGCCTTGGAAATCCAAGGAGGGGTCGCTATGAGTTGAGATTGACTTGACGGCAGTGAGTTTGGTTTTTTGGTTTTTGGTGCTTTTATAGAAGCAGATATAATAACAGGCAGAGAGTGAGAATGCTTTAAAGGAAACTCAAGGAATTTGTTAGGAAAGTTATGAAAATTCCAGAAGGGAGAAAGAGAAGAGAGAGAAAGATAGATTCCCTGCTGTGTTGAACAGGAGAGCTCCTGAAGGAGACATTTCAGTGGAATTATAAAAGATGGCTGGGATTCCCATCCACAAAAAGAGGAAGATGAGAATTAGGTGCTAATTATATTAAAACATGGCATAAACACAGGGCATATCATATCTTTTGTGCATTTTAATATTTTTCAACTCTCTTCTTGCTCTATCACCACTGTCGTTGTTGTTGTTGTTGTTGTTGTTATGGGCCGTTGTGTCATCTCTGACTTATAGCGATCCTTCCTTGGGTTTCTGAGATGGTATCACTACAGAAGTAGATTGCCCAATCTTCCTTCTGGGAAGTGGCTGGTGGGTTTGAACCACGAAACTTCTGGTTAGCAGTCAGGTACCTTAGGCACTACACCACCAGAGCTCCCTATCACCACTGCCTCAGTTTTATTCCGGGCCTTCCTCATTTTTCACCTGGACGGAGCTCAGATTGACCCCCTTGCTTCTATTCTAGCCCTAGTCTGGTCCTTCCTTTAGCCACTTAAAGACTTTTCTAGTATAACTCTGTCGTGCTATTCCCTGGCTTAAATCTGGGTCCCTGTCACCAGAGCGTAGATCCCAAATGTTCAACGTACTTAACCCTTTGTAGAGTTGAGTCGCACAAAGTTGTTTAAAGTTTCTGGAATACGTGTCACACTGGGTCACACATTTTGCCTTTGAGGATGCTCCTTAGTCTTTCTGGGCTGTTTTTTCCTTACCTGGTGAGCTCCTGACTAACAGTCCTCTAAGACAGCATGTTTCCTGTGTGACGCCACCTTATCCTCAAGCTGACTTAGGTACTTCATTTCAACTATCGTTATCTGCCTCTCCACTAAAATGATAGCTCCATGATGGCAGGAAATACATCATGCATATTCCCAGGCCCTAGCTCAGTATGAGACACATAAACCAGTTGCCATCAAGTCAGCTGCAAATGATGACAACCACGTGTGTGTCAGAGGAGAACTGTGCTCCAGAGGGTTTCCAGTGGCCGCTTTTTCAAAAATAGATTGCCAGGCCTTTCTTCTGAGGCACCTCTGGGTGAAATAGAAACTCCAAGCTTTCATTTGGCGCTGTGGTGGTCAGTGCCTGAGGCATCTATCTGACTGCTAACCAGAAGGTGGGCGGTTCAAACCCACCAGCCATTCCTTGGAAGGAAGGTTGGGCAATCTACTTCTGTAATGATACTGCCTTGGAAACCCAAGGAGGGGTCACTATGAGTTGGGTCCAACTGAATGGCAGTGCATTTGTTTTTTTGGTTTTTTAGCTTTCGGTTAGCACCTAAGCACATTGACCTTTTGAACCACTGGGGACTTTACCTGACATCCAGAGGGTACTTGATGACTATTTGATAAAAGAAAGAATGCTTGCTTCCTAGTGAGACTGAGGTTCAGGGAGCCCTGGATTATTCTCCCACATTGGGGCCCAGATCATGGAAGAGCTGCCTTGCCAGGCTAGGATGTTTTGATTTTGTTTAAGGCACATGTTCCCTACGTGGGACTTGGAACATGAGATTACTCCTCTTCCCTTCAGCGTGAACATTCTGTGACTCTATGAATGCAGTTACTGTGTTTTCTTTTCTTTACATTTCAAATGTTCCTGAAATTAAGGGAAAATGTGCCACTTCTTCCTGCCTCCATCTACAGGGAATGTGTGTTTTCCGTCAAAGCATACTTTGGTGCAGTTATAGGCCTTGACTTGTTCAGGAATTTTTATTTTGTTTTTGTTTTACTTTGCAAAAATCAAAGGAACGATGTCAGAGAAGTTGGAATAGAAAACAGTTCCTTGCTGGACAGATATTTCACTAAACAGATCTTTCACTGACTGCCCAGCTCTGTCCTTCAGCTACTTAATAAAGCATCGTGAGGCTGAGTGAAGAATTTCAGGCCCAATTAAACATGTCTGTCACTATATGCCAAAAGATAATAATGGCTGATACTGGCCATTTACTTTATCCATCAGGTTTGCTGTGTAATTTCTTCCTCTGTGTTTCAAACATTTTCAAACAAGCCAATGTGATAAATGGTAGCAATCCAGATGTCAAAAAGTGTATTGATCCAGAAATAAAGATATTCAAAGGCCAATGGATTTGAAGTAATGACTCTCATAGAAACCTAATTTCTATTACTAGAGTTAGGTTTCAGCAATAAGTGAGATCAGGCAACATTTTATTGTGTGTTACATAAGGTCACTGTGAGTCAGAGCCAACTTGGTGGCTGTGGTGGTTATGTTTGTGTGTTGACTTGGCTGGGCCTGGTTGAGTGGCTGGGCAGCTGGTGGTAGTTATTCCCCATGATGAGACTGACAATCAGCTCCATGGTGGGATCTACCACAAGCAGCTGAGTAGCTGCCCTTGGAATGTGGTCTGCTTCCTGTATAGAAGGAGAAGCCTTCGGAATGGCCTCTAGTTTATGGCAGGCTTGGACTCTACATGTAGCCGTGTCATTGTTCAGCACCTTGCCATGCTCTGCTGACCTTGAGACTTACAATAGACTTAAATTAATGGCCTGCCGTGTGGTTTGGTAACATCAGGGCTGTGCCTTTTTATTTGTCAACCTTGGGTTTGTCAGCCTCAGCAGCCAGCAGTTGTGTCAGTGAAGAAATGCCGCTAGCTCCAGTGGGCTGGGAGCAGGAGGCAGAGCTAGACTCCAAAGTTGAGGGGCTTTCACCCAGCCCCTAGAGCCTGACACTTTGAACTTGGACTTAAAGCCTCCAAACTGTAAGAGAATAAACTCCTGTTTGTTTAAGCCATCCCATTTGTGGTGTATTCCTCTCAGAGTGCCACTAGGGAACCAGAACAGTGGCAACTAACAACAAGGAATGAGAGGGGAAGGCATGGCAAGTACATTTAGTTCCAAGAAGAAGAGGAAGGGATGCACTGTAAATCCTACTTTTGCAAAAAGTTTTTTACATGGAAACTGGATGTATTTTAATGGAATTGACTACTTGTCTAACGATCTGGAACTACCTGAGTATAAAAAACGCACTGCCATCAAGTTGACCCTGACTCATTGCGACCCTGTAGGACAGAGTAGAACTGCCCTATAGCATTTTCAAGGCTATAAATCATTACAGAAGAAGACTGCCTCATCTTTTCCATGGAGTGGCTGGTGGGTTCAAACCACCGACCTTTTGATTAGTAGACAAGCGCCTTAAGCACTATACCACTAGAGCTCCTTAAGCTAGACACAGACCCTGCCTTTTGAAACTTACATGCCAAGAGATGCCACACAATGTTAGGATCTGCTTTCTGGGTAGAGACTGGGATCCTTCCTTTACATACCCTGCCTTTATATTTTCACCCATCTCTGTCCCTTTGAGTTTGGGTGACAGTTAACAAAGTAGAGTTTGGAGGTGTTATTGAGATTGGATTGGGACCTGTTGACATTGAAAGACCATCTGGGAACAGTTTTGACAAATTTCATCTATAAATGGCATTCACTGTCTTTTTTTTATAGGGACTGTTCTGGTTCTGACAGGAATATACCACAAATGGGATGGCCTTAACAAACAGGAGTTTATTCTTTTACAGTTTGGTAGGCTTTAAGTCCAAGTTCAAAGTGCCAGGCTCTAGGGACTGTGTGAAAGCCCCTCGACCTTGGCTTCAGCTCTACCTCTTGCTCCCAGCCCACTGAAGCTAGAGGCATCTCTTCACTCAGGCTGCTGAGGCTAGCAAGCCTAAGGTCGACAAATAAAATGGCACAGTCCTGATGTTACCAAACTACATGGCAGGCCATCAATTCAAGTCCATTGTAATTCCCAGGGTCGTCAGAGCATGGCAAGCTGCTGAACGACACAGCTACATGCAGGGTCCAAGCGTGCCATAAGCTAGAGATGACCCCCAAGGCTTCTCCTTCTATACAGGAAGCAGATCACATCCCAAAGGCAGTTGCTCAGCTGCTTGTGGTAGATCCCACCATGGAGCTGATTGTCAGTCTCATCATGGGGAATAACTCCCACCAGCTGCCCAGCCACTCAACCAGGCCCAGCCAAGCTGACATACAAACTTAACTACCACAGGGACTCTAAAAAAGATGCTCAGGGAACCTATTGCATTGCCTCAGAGTTGAAATGAAAATATGAAATCTTTCTGAAGACACATTTTGAATTATAATTTTCATTGCAGAAATACTAAAGCAACTTTTTTTTTGTTAATTTTTTAAAAATCATAGTAAAGTCCTTTATGGATCAAAGAGTGGGCTAAGCCACCTAACAAATGATAATCCAGCCTAGAATGCATGTCAACAAGAACTCGTCGTATTAACAGGGAAATGAATAAAGGGGAACCGTGTGCTCTCATGCTGGAGGAGAACAGCACGTGACTGTGGGATTCCAGAAATCTCAACTCCTCTTTCAACTCTCTTAGGGTAGGAGGAGATCTTCTCTTTCAGAGATATTCCCAAAAATTTTGAAACAATTTATTCACCAGGGATTTGTGAAATAAATTATGAAACATCAGAAGAGTCCAATACATAAAAGTGGCATTTAATGTAGAAAGATACAAATGTCCTAATGCAAAAATGTGTGTTAAAAAAGAATATGGCTCCATGATTCTAATTCTGTACCAAAAAAATACTGTCTCTATATAAGAAGGTGGCCTAGTGCCTAAGGCATTTGACTGCTCACCAGAAGGCTGGTGGTTCAAACCCACCAGCCACTCCTCGGAAGGAAGGTTGGACAATCTACTTCCGTAATGATACTGCCTCAGAAACCCAAGGAGGGGTCTCTATGAGTTGGATATGAATCGACAGCAGTGCATTGTGTTATCTAAGGAGGCTGGAAAACTAAGATATTTAAATGGCTATTTCTGTAGCAGAGTTTCAGGTTCCTGTTTGTTTTATTGCTGCTATGATATATCTATTTTTGAGGGAAGGGGGAATTAGGTATAAAGTTTACTTCAAAAGTACATTTGTTAATTAGAAAAGTCTGTACAAGCATATACACTTAAATAAATGGAGTAATTGGTGCAAAAATAGATAGGTGTGTCTATTTTTTATGCAGAATCACTTGGGCTAAGAAAGATGCCTTAATAAAATAAATGATATGTTATCATTCTGCTCAGCTGAGTGCAGTGTCACAAGTCACTTAACAGTTTCTACATTTTTACAGGGTGTCCCTGGATTAAAGGGAGAACGAGGAGAACGAGTAAGTAATGTCCAGCTCTGTTAACTAGTCCGAGCTGGTTGAGATTCCTCATTGCCTCTGCCTCCTATAAGTGGATCGTTTACTATCATGGCAGTTCATTACTATTCTGTCATTCCTTCTCGCCACTCTCTCCCCAACTCATTTGTCTGGGAGTCTGTTCTCAACTGGAGAAAGCCCTATGGGCTGGAAGTCAAGGGAGAAAGTTATCTGCTGACACATCTGCTACTATTCCAGCTAAATGACCATGGGCCCATTTCTGTAAGGATAAAATGGGGAGAATCAAACTAGTGTAATGCCAAAGTGGACTTGATGAGGACATTGCAGGTTGTCCTTGACTTATGATGTACTCGAGTTATGGAGAACTGCCCTTAGGATTGTCATTTTCTTTTTTGTACATCTTGTTGTTAGTAATATGTACAACATGCAGTGTTGCAACACGTCATTTGCTGATGTTATCATTCTCAGATGTTCACTCACAGATGTTCCATGCTATGATTTACTATTCGGAACACTGCCATAGAGCAGCCGATGGCCTCGTCTATAATGAAATCAGTGTTGCTGTTGGGAGTTATAATGGTTAGAGAAGTGGGCAATGTTTAACTCTAACAACATATGACAATGGAACTGTGGTTGCACCTAACAGTTATTACAACTCAGACCTCATTGTTAGACACTGATCACTGATTACCTTGTAGACCTGGCATATAGTGTGATGTTGTTCAGCATTTTATACCATATGAAGCATCAGTTGCTAATCTGAAATGAGGTATTCGATGTAGGTCAGAACTGACTTACAATGGAGTTATCGGAATGCAACCCTGTTGTAAGTCGGGGCTGCCTGCCTGTGTGTCATGGGTAGGAAGGGGCTTCAGAAAAGTAAAAGCTGTATCAAATGCCAAGTCATAGGATCAGGCTCACATTTTTCTTGATGGATCCATACATGCATCCAGCAAGTCACTAACAGGCATAGACTCAAAATCCTGGCCCCAAACTGTAAGTCAGTTCATTTTAAGGGCCTTCTCTCTCCTTTCAGAAAGATGTAATTGGTCAGTGATTATAGGAAAAGCAGCGGCTTTGCAATCTGAAGACCCTAGTCTCAGCTCCTCCAATTACCTCTGTGGAACCTTGGACAAGTTGCTTAACTCTGCTCAGCTATAAAATGACTTTAACCTCTCTCCTCTGAGTTGTTAAATAGTATTAAATAAGCTGCTGCTTGAGAAAGTGCTGTAAATTATAAGCTCTAAAGAGCTATAAATGATGCATAAAATATACATGTGTTTGTTTTAAAACTATAAATTTTTTTAGAATCTGAAACCAGAAATACTCAGTCGACCTTTCAGCTTAATAAAGGCTCTCGGGAACTCTTTGGGACTCAGGTTGGTTCTTCTCTGCATGCACCGTGGTAGTCAGTCCTACCTGTTCCTGAGAGCTGAAGACTCCTCATAAGAATGATGCACTTCCTAGTGTCCCTGGCCTGGTGGCTGGGCTTGGGGCTGAGAGTCAAGAGTATGCTTTGTCTCATCCAGGGAGACCTGCAGTCTCAAGCCATGGTGAGGGCAGTGGCACGCCAGGTCTGCGAACAGCTCATCCAGAGTAAGTGCTGCGTTAGAGTTACGAGGTTTTCCATTTCTTTTCCAAATGATTCTTTTCCCATGAGTTCAGTGACTAAGGAAAACTCCTCTCTAGAGCTTAGTCTTACTGCAAACTCATAAGCTTCACAGATGGGCCGCTCTGATCCATCTATAAAATCATCACAGACAGTCCTAGACTTCTACACCGATGGATGGTTGTTACTGGCCATTGGATCGATTCTAACCCATGGTGACTCTATATGACAGAGGAGAACTGCCCCATAGGACTTCCTTGGCTGTAATCTTTACTGGAGAAAATTGCCAGTTCTTGTCTCCCACAGAACTGTTGGGTGGGTTCTAACCACCTACCTTTTAGTTACAGCTGAGCTCTTAACCACTGCACCACCAGGGCTCCTTACATCAGTGGTACCATGGGCAAATTCCTCTGTGTCATCTGTGCAAGAACTATCTCCATAAAGATGTAAAGATGTAGCTTGGCTGCCAAGCTCATATTCACTGCTTCTTCCTCATCTCTCTAAATGGATAGATTTCTTTTTTCCTGAAGTACTCAGCACTTGTAAGCTGCCAGACAACATCATCAGAAGCTCCAAAAGAGCTGATCCAAAGAGATGATTCATGGTGTTGATTCCATTCACTCTAGATTTGAATCAGTATATCCTTCTGATCCATTTCACATGTATTATCCTTCTGTTAGCCTATCACTCTTCCCTTTATTTTTTAGGCTTTATGTCACACACACACACACACACACACACACCACAAACACTGGGATAGGCTGATGTGACATTTGATATGACAGTTTGGGTTTCATGCCAAAATTACCAGAACACACTTGATATGACACCTATCTCAGTTTTTCATTTTCAGCCTGAATTTTTCCACATGTGGTATTTCAATGATGCTTTCCCACCCATTTGCTTTTATACTCACCCCTGCCCACTCACTGTAGACTTCATCTCAGTAACCCACCCAGAGGGTTGCTAGTGTGGGTCCTTCTTTTTGCCAGTCATTAGTTCCATTCTATGAAGATCTGATGCCAACTAGAGAAGAAATACTTCAACCCACTCAGCTCTGTTTTCACGCCCCCCACCTCCAGGGTTGACATTACCATATCAGCTTCTCATTTATTTCAAACCAGGAAAGTTTGGAAGTTAAGCCAGAGGTGGCCTACAAGTGTCCAAGAAGGCCTTGTTGTCTGGATCTAAAATTCCATCTTTTGTTCTAAAATAACCCAGCTCTCACCCTGGGAGAGACATAATGTGAGTGTCTTCCAGAGTCAGAAGTTTTTTAAACTTAAACAAACATGTCAAGGCAAACTGGTTAGAAAGCTAAGATTCTTCAGACACAGTACTAATGCTTATACATTTTAACTCTGTTTCATTGTATATTATTGTATTTTTATGCAAATAACAAGCACCTTCTATGTTTGTTTGACAACTGCTTCCTCCCTCCAGGAGGTATTTTTGTAAATGGGCTGTGCTAATATTTTTTACAGCATTAGGTAAAAAAGATAAATTAGTATATCTGCCCTTTCGAAAATACCTTCCAGAGGAAGCAACCAGTTGTCAAATAAACATAGAAGACATGTAGTATTTGTATAAAAATATGGCTTATTCCTCAAACTAAATATGTGTGGGTGGGTGTGAGAAAGAGGATTTACCACTTAAATGAAACTACTCAAATGTAATGGCCAAAGAGGATCTTTAAGAACAATAAGTTATAAAAGAGAAACTTGAACACAGTCACTTTTGAGGTAGAATACATCCAAAGCTAAGCTGTAGCTTCGATTATTTTTGTAGGTTTCTCATTTTGAATATATAATATAGATGAACAGATCTCTAATAAAAAACCCAAACTCACTGCTGTTGAGTCGGATCTGACTCATAGCAACCCCTCCTTGGCTTTCCGAGGCAGTATCACTAGGGAAGTAGATTGCCCCATCTTCCTTTCAAGGAGTGGCTGGTGGATTTAAATAGCCAATCTTCTGGTTAGCAGTCTAATGCCTTAGGGTTAAATTCTAATATGACTTACTGACCACAGATATGAGGAAGATTCCACAATACTTGTTGTCTTATTCTCCTGTGAAATGTATTTTTTTTAAATAAATATATGATTATTAAAAACATGCCCTGAAAATCAAGGATTCAAAATAGAGTATTTCCCTGTAGCAGTTTCCAAATTCTTGTGAATGACTTCCGGGAGGGGCTTAGACAAGAAAGCTGACACATATAAAATAGAGAAGCCCTGCCTGTCAGTGCTGGTGTGAGGGAAGGAAATAGAGGAAGGAGATTGTAGGTCATTCTGTCACCAATGTTCATCCTACTCAGAGTATGTCTTTCTGGCACCTCAACTATCTTCCCAAATATTACCTCGGATTTCTCTGGGCTCCTTATTCTTCTCCTTTTGCTCCTGCTTAGCATATTATTTCTTGATTTCCCAGGTGATAAAGATAGCATAGTGCCTAAGGCACTTGACTGCTAACCAAAAGGCTGGCAGTTCAAACCCAACAGCCACTCCTCAGAAGGAAAGTTGGCCAATCTACTTCCATAGTGATACTGTCTCGGAAACCCAAGGAGGGGCCACTATGAGTCAGGTCCGACTCCACGGCACATAACAACAACAACAACACATGGGATGACCCTGAGGCAGGGTTGACTTGATCGCAACTTTTTTTTTCAATATAACTTCTAGCAAGCTTGTTATCTGTTTCTTAGCCCACAGCTGGTTAGAAGAATTAGGCTAGAAGGGGTTACAGAGATAGCTGTGCCAGGCCCCTGTGATGACAGCTAGAGAACGGATCACAGACAGCATCCTGGCTGAAGCACAGGGAGAAGCTGCAAAAGCAGCCATGGCCTTACTCCCTGCAAACCATGGCAGCCACGGAAATGCCTTATTCCCTGCAAACCACAGTGGGTGTGCCTAATGCAACCCCCCGGAGCCTTCAGGAGGGAGTCTAGTTTCAGTCACTGTCTTCTGCTTAAGGAAAAAATGAATCTCATGTATCTTAAAGAGACTTCTTCTTAAAATGGTTATTGTTTTTTATTTAGGTTTGAATGATTGAAAAGGGAGAGTTAATAGTCATCTAAAACATTCCCTTATGTGGGAAAAATCTTATCCACTGATGATGCTGGAAAAATGGGGCAGGATGGTATCTTTTATAAGTTCTATACTTAGAATTATTAAAAGGTTTATTTCCTTCCTCCATTTATTTAAACTTTCAAGTAGTTTATAAGTCTATACTTAGAATTATTAAAAGGTATTCTTTCGGATAATAAGTAAGTTAAGGAAGTAGAGGAGAGAGAACCAGATTAATTTTTTTTTTTTAATTTTATTTTGATTTGGG